TTTAAGAGTTTTTAAGAGTTTAAGAGTTTTAAGAGTTTTTAAGAGTTTGAGCCAAATGCTTTATAATATAGTATAGATATATAAAAGTTGACCTTTTCAGCCTATTACGACGGCTAGATTAGAGTGCGCCATAATCCACACACATACATGCACCCCGTCTAAGCTTAGCTTGTTTCTGGACCTGCTTCACCGGGTCAAACCCCCTCCCCATTCTCTCTATACCTATATATACATACATTCTCTATATCTTCTCCTACTTCATCACAACAATGTCGAAGATTATTATCAAACTACTCTTAACCGTCGTTACGGTCGCCATAACCGTCACCCTTACGATCTCCACCATCGGCAACGATCCCAAATCAACTCCAACTGAACCGTTGGCTGTGAAACCGTTCCCAAAGAGGGTCAGTCGGTTTCTAGCCGAGACCAAGAACCCACGAGCCGCAGACCACTGCAAGAAAGATGACGAGACTTGCTATATCTTACAAGGCAAAAACTCGACTTGTTGCAACAACAAGTGCATGGATTTGAGTCAGGATAAACACAATTGTGGAGCATGCAAGAATAAGTGCAAGTTTACGAGTTCGTGTTGCCGTGGGGAATGCGTGAATTTGGCTTACGACAAGCGGCATTGCGGGTTGTGTGGTAACAAGTGCATGCCGGGTGGTTATTGCATATACGGCCTCTGCAATTACGCGTGACACACTCTTTGGTTGAATGATCTTTTGTTAAGTTCTTTTTAAATACCCGACTTTCTAACGGGTTTGAAAATATTATTACTACCGAAGAATGTCACTTCTATACACAAGAAACTTTATGGGTTATTTGATCTTAATTGATCAATATTTTCATTGTTATTGTAACTATTCATACAAATTGCTTCTATTGGTTGTATATTATAAAGCATAATACATACATGGTTTTTATATGGGTAAATTGTATGAAAAAATAACGTACTTTAACTTGATTCTTATTTTGGGTAACATACTTTCGAAATTTATATTTTAGTATTAAGATGTAAAGTTTTGAACATTCAAGTATTCAGGTAACTAATTGAAGCATTAACCAGTTATCATGCTGATGTGACGAGTGATGTGGTATCTAACTTAGTATTATTTGCTTGCGTGTTTAGTGACATGAAATTTTTAATCTAAAGTTAGTCTTTTTTTTTTAAATCTAAAATTAGTCTTCAACAGATTACCAAGATACTTAAATATTTAAACTTTATTGATCATAAACAGAACACATGAAAATTATCTCGATTTAAATCCGGTTTACATTTTTTTTATTGTAAACACAAAAATAGAAAATAAAAATGTTGTCAAATAAATCAATTAATGTTTTTTTGGTAATCGTAGATATGCAGGTCAATTTATGCATATTAACGAAGCCTTAAGCCGACTGCGATTGACATGCAGTCATCGCAATGAACCTCTATGGATTGTCGTGCCTATATTCTGACCCGGAGAACCACTACATCCCTTAGGGTGTGTTTGGTGTCAGAAAGAGACATGACAGGACATAACAAGACGTGACAGGATAGAACAACTGTTTAACGTTTGGTAAGATAAAACTGGACAGAACAGAACAAGTAAAATGACCAATTTGCCCCTCATGAGTTGTTTATTTTAATTAATTTATGTAATTTATTAAATTATAATAGAATAATTATTTTTTATAACAAAATATATCATTTGAAATTTTTTGTTAAAACAATTAAAATAACATTAAATAAAAAGTTTATGTAGTTTTCAATTTTTATTTTGATCTCTTTTCTACATTATTTTATTATTATTAATATATAATAAATTACATAAATTAATAAAAATATAGAAATCGTACAAAAATAATATTTTGAGGACAGTAAAATAAAAGTTTAAAAAACATAAAATACAATAAATAAAATTTAAAGAACGAATAAAATGTAAAAAAGATACATATTTAATGTTTTAGAAGAGAATTAAGTTTTATTTTGAGGTTATATTGATAAAATATAAGTTTGTTCCACCATGTTCCATGGGGTAGGGGTGGAACAGACCTCTTCCACTTTGTTCATGTCTTTTCCACATAAAAGTCATGCTAAACATGAGACAAAGATCATTGTCCTGTTTTATCATGTCATGTCCAATGTACTGAACTCACCCTTAAGACCATCTCCGGTAAGGACCCAAAATTTATACCAAATACTAAATTTGACACCAAATCACTCATATGGTGACAACAAATTTGGTGCAATGAATACTAACACACCAAATTTGGTATATCTATACTATCTTATTAAGCAAATTTAGCAAAAGTCTTAAAGTATTAAAATTTTAAATGACCAAAATACCCTTTTATACTACTTTTTCACTTTTTCACCCCCTCATCTCCTCACATATACTCACCCTCTCACAACCGATTTTTTTTTAAATTATAATTTTAAAATTACACTTTATACCTCTATAATTACTTAATTAATTTACTTTACGATTCTTTAATTTTAAATGTTTCATTTTAAACCTTTATTAAATTAACATACATAATCGTATATCAATTAAAACATGTTTAAAAAATACATTTTTATTTTA